AGTCAAACCGCTTAATTCAAAGAAACCTGTAACTCCGAAACGGCTTGACCGATTTCAAAGTTTTTACTATCAATTGAAAGAGCAATAAAAACTTTACAATATGTGATATAACAACAATCTTACTCATTTTCGAAAAATCCGCTGTTCGAAAAAATGTCTTTGTTTTAATTTTTCAGAAAAATTTTAAATACTTCCATCAAGTTATTTAACACGCATTCGAAAGCACAGGAAAAAATGAACTAAACCGCAAAAACCGCATCTAAAAATAATTTCTGGAATCGATTTAATACTTGAAAATAATAATATTTGAAATAGGCAACCCTTATTATTTGCTAGTATTAAATCGGTTCCAGAAATTATGTTGAGATGCGGTTGTTGCGTTTTGGTTCATTTTTTCTTTTGCTTTCGAATGCGTGTAAAATAATTTGCAGGTAGCATTTGAAATTTTTGTGAAAAACTAAAACAAAGAAATTTTTTCGAACAGCGGATTTTTCGAAAATGAGTAAGATTGTTGTTTTATCACATATTGTAAAGTTTTTGTTGCTCTTTCAATTTATAGTAAAAACTCTGAAATCGGTCAAGCCGCTTCGGAGTTTTCTTTTTTCAGATTTCTTTGAATTAAGCGGTTTGACTGTCCCCCCACGCTTTATTTGACTAAGTTAGGAAAAAAGTTAGTACGGTTTTTTATGATCTTTTGACTAAACTTACTAGATCTTTCAGTTATATGGACAATTTCTGTATAAAATCGACTTTTTAAAATACCGTTTGCAATTATGCCATCTAGTGGTCATCTGAGAAATTTCAAAATAATTTCCAGCAAATTATTTTCCTCAAGTTTGTCATCAAATTTTTTTTCGGACACTACAACACATACTTTCCAAGATACAGCCGCTTACCATCCTTATTGCGACACCCTGTATAAAACTAAGCTTTAAAAGTTTACATTCACACTTTCTTGGATCGAGATCTGGTTCTATACGCCAAGCCGGACACCCTACGTTTTGCAGAATTGTCATCAAGTATGGTTGAAGGGTGTGCTGCTTGCTTTTCTTTGGTCTTTTCAAGTAGGTTTTTCAACTTCGATTGTCCTCGTTTCTTCTTGACTGGCTCAGGTTCAGCAGGGCAGTCATCTGAGCCAGTTTCAACAAAACTGGTTTTCTTGGCTTCAGCATCTTGGTTCGGTACCTCAGTTGTTTGGACTTTAGGCTCATCAAAATGAACTTTTTTATTTCTTCTCCGGCTTGCTAATGGTTGCTTACGCGTGTTTGCCTTTTCATTAGCTTGTTCCGGTACAGATTTGTCAGGAGTAGTATCAGCTGCACCTTCAGGCTCTACAGAAGAGTCAACTTTTCCACATCTTCTCGTCACTCGCTTAGCATCATTTTCCAAAGGACTTGCACTGCGCTCGATTACCCTTTTCCTTCCTTTAGGTCTCGAACTACTTTCCTTTTCTTTCGTTGCTTTCACATCCGTGTGAGTACTTTCTTCCGGTTTCGTAGCAGTTGGTTTGGGGTTGGGGGTTGCATCAGATGACGGCACTGATACAGCTTTCTTTTCGTTTTCTGTATTATTTATCAGTTTTCTTGCTCTAGTTCTTCTCGGTCTTTCAATTAAAGTTTCTACTTTTTGGGGCGTGTCTTTCTCGGCTCCGCTTGCATCCAAGTTGTTCTTTTCAATAATTGTGGGAACTGACGGAAGTTTATTCCCTCTTCGACTTCGAGTTTTCACAATTTCAGGAGAAGAACTTCCTTCAGGCTTAGTTGGTACTTTTTCGCTAACTACTTCCGATTTCTCAAGAATTTCTAATTGAATATTAGGTGTTGTCGGTTGTACTTCTGCATCGATTACTTTATTTTTGCCCCTAGCAGTTTTCTTCGCCTTGACTGAGCGTTCAGTTTTTCTTCCAGTAGCCGTTACTGGCTTTTCCAAGTTTTCGTGCGTATCATTTGTTCCTTCTTGGTTAGTCCCAGTATCTTTTTCATTGCTGACAATGCTTTGTGAATTAGAGTCACTTGAGAATGAAGTTGTATTCTTCAGATCTTCAGGTTCTTGTCTCAATTTCCGTGCACCTACTCTAGTTCTAGTAGACTTTCCAGATGGAGTATCAGTATTTTTTAATGTAGTTTTCTTGATTTTATCTGTATCCGAGTCATTAGCGTCTGTAGGTGTCTGTAGTACTGCATATTTATTTTCTGTACGACTGTTCAAACGAGTTTTCAATTTTTCAGTTTTAGCCTTGGATGCATCTGGAGTGGATTCACGAATTGGCTTAGACTTCTCATAGAATTTAGCTTCAACATCGGGTAGAGGAAATTGCGATCTAGTCAGCTTCTTTGTAGTTTTTACACACTTGGTGAGACTTGAAACTTTTAGTTTAGTCGTCTTTACAGCGTTAGGATCTTCTACAAGCGGAACTGAACTGGCAGTTTCCATTACCATATCCAAATCTTTATCGCTTAGAATCTTTCTTCTCCGCGTACTGCGCCGCACTGCTGGGCTATTTTTCTCGCCTAAAGAAAGCTCTTGAGCAACATTTACTTGAACTTCAAGCTTGTCACCTGACGACTCTGAAATGTTAATTGCTTCGGCAGTTGTGACAGTGGCGATTTTTGATCGTCGGATTTCTGAGGGCGTTTCCTTCACTCCATCATTTTGAGGAACAATTACCATTTGGCCAATGGCATTGTCACTAGCTGAAATTTTCCTAGTAGATGTTCTTGTTCGGACTTTTGATACCGTATTTTCTGGAGTTTGTATGACATTTTCATTAACTAATGCCTTCAGTGGGGTTCGACTTTTCCTTTTAGAGTTCCTTGTGCTGTTATTTTTCTCAAATTCGTTTTCTGTAGATTTAATTTCGTCGTGAACTAACACGTCCAAAGATGTTGGGTTTGCTGTGCTGTCAATATCGCCAGAGTCTCCGGGTAAAACTGATTCCGGCTGCAAGTCTAAGTTTAAGTTACTTTTTGCTTTATCGCCGTTTGTCTTCTGTCGACTTTTATCTTGAGCACGATTCTTTGAAGAAGCACTACGAGTGACCGGGATAGTCTGCTCTAGGTTTGGAGGTGATTTGGCAGAATCACCATCCCCACCAAACGACGATTGTTCAGTATTGGTTTTCAATTGTTCTTCCACCCACTGATAGACTCTAGGAGAACAACTTGGCGTAGCTCCCATAGACTTTCTGGAGTTTCCAGTCTGCTCGTTTCTTACCCTTTTAGCAGGAGACAAACTCTTTCCTTTGGATGTATAGGACTTAATAGGAAATTTCCCAGATAATCTAGTAAAAAGATCTTTCGAGTAACCATCGTCACTGTTATTGTGCAGAAGGTCTACTCCCGATGTATCAAACAAGGATCCAATTCCAGTGACGCTAGTAAGGTCGTTTTTCGGACCATGCCTCACTCGGGGCGACATCAGTTTTCGCAAATTTGGAACATTTGTTAAATCGTTTTTGTGACTGCGTCGCGCTCGGGGCGACATCAGTTTCCGTAAGTTTGGAACGTTGGTGAGATCATTATTGGGAGACTTGGCTGGAGTCTTCATCAACCTTTTAACGCCTTCAAAACTACTGAGACGGTTCAGCGGGGATTTATTTTGACGTTTCCTCAAGGCAGGTTTCGGCGATGTTGGCTGTAACCAAGAAATAAATCGCATTATTTTAATACATTTCTTGAGTCCGAAATACAGGGTGTTTGTACCAGAGAGTCCAAGGGAAAAACATGATGAACTAACTTAATTTATCTAAACGAAAGAAAGACGATTCCAAAAATCTCTGAACAAAATTTCATATAGGTGTTTTTACATTTTACAGAGGCCCTGTATATTAAATAAGAAAGAAGGAAATGGTTTGAAATATAATGTACGTGTGCAATGCAATGAGAAGCAAAAATGGAATAAAGCATCGAATAACACTTTTGACATTTTATTGTTCATAAATTTTATACCTGAGGGCTGGGCTGTTCCTGGTTGATTGCCCTTGTAGAGTTATTTTTCTCTGGAAACAGAACCGCATGACTCTCCCTGCCTCTTTTCCGTGACCGGATAGCACACTCGCGAATGCTTTCAAACAATCCCGCTGTGTTTGTTGGTGTTTTAAACAAATCGCCCATGTAGTCTGTTTCCTATTTTACAATTCGAATTGGTAAATTTTAGAAATATGAACAAGCAATCAGTAGATGCAAATTTGCATATAACTGATGTTTTGAGCGCTTACCTGAAGTACACCGGGAGTAACTGGTGTTATGTCCTCCACAACCGGATTATACACCGAAGCATTGACTTTAGACAAACGACGCACTGGTTTGATATGGGACTTTGGAGTTTCATCCTTAACGACATCCAACATTTCTAAAGTGGTTTCACACGAATATTCGGGTTTCCTGGAGAGAAACAAAAAATATATTAAAATAAACAAATAAATAAAACTTTATATTAAGAACACAGTTGATATGAAATGAAAGAAGGGTGTATGCAAACATTAACCTTTTGGAAATAATTTGATGCTTCAATGATAGATCTTTCGGGTCGGTAGGTTGGAAAACCGAACGACTCAAGAGCTTTTTGTTCTCCACTTTTGGCAACTGCGGAAGACTAAGACTTCTGACCCTCTTTGGCTGACTTGGACGGTCTCCTGGAAAATGAGATTGTTGAACTTTTCATCATACTACCTAGGTAGGCACTTCTTACCTTTGCACACTGAAAGCCGCAGAGAACTTCTTCTTTTAACCGGCTTGGAGAGTTCCGTCGCAGAGTGTTCAGTAACTCTGGCTTTCACGAAAGGTGTCGATGTAAAAATCGGCTCTCTGTCAGAACTTTTCCTCAGGGGGCTGCAAAGAAAATGGTCAGAAAAATGTCAACTGATTATGTTGAGATTGATGACAAACCTTTCGTTCTGAACTGAACTAACTTTCAAGCAACTCCTGGGTTCAGACACTGCTGTAAAATTCACTACATCGATTTCTGTGTCTTCTAATGCAGAATTTGTGTTTTTGAACGGGGAGTTTGATTGTGGATCGTCACAATCATTTTCCCACTTTAAGGGTACCGCCGTGGATTCCTTTAAACTTGTAGCCAAAGCTGTCTTTGTAAATGCGCTGTTTCTCAGCGATCTTCTAACATAGGCTTGGTCGTTTCCATTTGGTTTCAAAGGTTTAACAGGAGATAAAACTTCTATAGTCAAGTCGTTCATTTCTGAGATTTTTGTTGTGCTATTTAAAGCTGATACTTCTTTTGTTTCTTCGAGAGAATTGCCGTTTTGGATGGCACGCTGGGTGGTTTCATCAAATGAGGTTCGACTTTCCGGAGCATTCTGATCACTTGTTGGGCAGCTGAAACATGGTGGTGTCGTACTTTCAAAATTCTGGTTTGCCTCTTGTGTAGTCTCATCAAAAATGTTAACGCTTGTGGTAGACTTCGTTTTTTGTGCATCAGTTGAATCCTTCGAAGCATTTTCATCTAATGATGTTTGTACTTCTTTTAAGGACAAAGACTGAGAAAGTACTAAATCTGACAATTCATATGAAGTGCTGCTTTCACAAGTTAAATTATTGGTATTGATGCTTAGTTTCGAATCAGTTTCAGATAAATTGTCCGCACAACTAGTACTAATACTAATCGGACATGTATCATCTTCATCTATAATTATCATGGATTTGCGACGTGTTGGAATGCTTTTCTTGTGCGGAGGCGTCATGCTGGGAAAGTCCGAAACATCTCTACCACGCCGCTTTGGAGGTCTTACAGTGACATAAGAAGAAGGGTCAAATTCCGGCATATCTAACTGGACATCGTTAGGAATTGGAAATCCGTTTCCTGAATTATTCTGGCTATCATGTAATATAGAGGCATTTTTAGACAGTCTTGCTTCATTGTCAACAATTTCTTCGCTTGCATGGTCTGACTCAGTAATGCTTGTTGAAATATTACATTCTGACCAGCTGTCACTTTCAGCTCTTGAGAAGTTTGGACTAGCGTCCAAACTGGCACTAGAATGAACAGTGTTATCTTGGATTGGTAAACTCATTTGGTCATTGTCGATAGGGGTAGTTTGGTCTTTTGCAGCAGTATCATCAACGTTCAAACATATGGCTGACAAGTTGTTTCTTCGTGATTTCACTGATGACCTTCTAGCTGGCATAAAGCTCCTTGTACGTTTAGACCGTGTTCTGAAAAATTAAAATAATGATTTGTGTCTTGGGTTCAACATATTAATATTATATATTAAACATATTATAATTAGATGATATTTTCCAATTTCAACATGGATTTCACGATTTTGATGCAAGGGATTAAAATATTTATGTTCGTGTTAGTATAATTAGCTTACTTGTAGGTGGTGTATGTTTTAACCAATGGCATCACACTTTTCCTACTGAGCTTCAATAATTTTTTCTTTTCTCTTATAAATAGCTCACTATCTTCCGGCTGAAATTTTAAAAAAATTTTGGTTTTTTGGACATTCAGTCTCCTTAACTTTACATTTACACTAACCTCGTCCTTCAGTATTTCGTTGAAGTATTGAAACTGTTTTCCAATTATTTCAAAGATATCACCATGTTTTAACACCTCGAATTTCAAACAAGGGTTGCCATTTATAATCACTGGAGCATGAGCACTCTTGTTTGTAATAATTGCCTAAAATAAACAGTTACAGATTAATCGACAGATTCGACAGTATTTGCTATCAGATCGAAACTGATTAATTTTTCGCGTAACGTTAATAATTTGTTGTTATATTATAATAATGTTAACAATTCATATTCCCCATTGCAACTGGTAAAATCCATGCATTAGAGTGGTGTTTCCTTCAAGGAAAAAGTGTTAAATTTAAATGTTAAATACTGTTAAGTACATAATTTATTAATCGAAAGCTGGAAAAAGAGTTGCAATCAGATAAGATATTTTTAAGATCGAAACATCGAGTTAGTTGGAATAGATGAAAGTTGGAATAGTTGATGATCCTATTATTATCAATCACTCTGAAGTTCATTGATTGTGCTAATAATATGTCTTGTTCAATTACAAGTTTGGACAACCTTAAACATGATATACCTGTTTCAATTATAGGATTTAAAAGTGTGTGTCACATCTTGAGAACGACTGGCGATTCAAAAAATATCACCAAGATACCATACAGTTTATAATTACTTGTTCATGTTCAAACAAGTATGAGCTTATATTCGCATGGTCTTGTAATTTTCAGCCAAATTGTTTTACGCGACTCAAACACTCATATAAACGGCGTTTTTCAGCGAATGAATTACAAGTTCAAGACGCAAATAAAACAACTTTAGACATTCATTCACCAAAACAATTTTCCAGCTCCAATTTTCAACCACAACAAAATTTCATATTTATAAACCAAAGTTTGGATAGGAAAAATGTTAGTTTGTATAGAAAAAATGAGCATAGTGTTAATCGTACAGTAAGGAATTACTGAACTTTTCTTCCAGTCCCGCTAGTTTTGAGGTTACAAATGTAAAGAATAAAATGGCCGTCGACGAATGGAAGAATAAGTTGGCGAATTAGTTTTCAACGCTGTATAGCTTTAAAAGAATGCGCTATTCACTCATTTTATTAGTTATATGCTGAAGCCGAACTTTGTAACACACCAGCTCTAACCTCATAAATCCATTAACAAAACGACTTACCACTCCATTGCGACTAACTTTAACAAAAGCGTGTTTCGGCAGTAAATTCCCATTTTGTAGTTTCAAACGTAGTTCGCAATCAATCGATGATCCAATTGAGTGTTCGCCCAGGTCTAATTCATAAGTAGCCCCGGTGCTACCGTTCCTTAGAACGACGATGCGTCCGAACTCCATTAGGGCTTTGTTACCAAATTATTAATATCGACTTAATCCCAATAAATGACTGTGAGGTATTTTAACATGCACGGGAGATTACAAAAAAATAAAATTATGCTGTCAGAATCGAATAAAGTCAGTTGAACAGACAAACGAAAAGCACAAAATTCACCATCACTAAACGAACTAAACAAAACAAAGTCACCGAATGATGAATGAATTTGAGAATCGATAAAACCGTTGGCCTTCTTTTCCGCTATTCAAAATGCCGTTTGTAACCAATCAGAATCAGCCATGTCCCTGTCTGTGTAGTAAATGACGTTTGGCAGACCTGGCTGCCATTTGCGTTGCCAACACTAAGAAAATTAAGCTGTTTATAATTTTATTTCTTTGATCGTTGACCAAATCTTATATACAGTTAAATATTTCAAAAATGTGACAATAAATATATTAAAATAATTTGAAATATAGCATTTAAATAACCAAATGGGAAATGTAACAATAACAGACAAAAATAAGATAAATGTGTCTCGTGCTGCTGGAGATTATGATATAAATTGCGGTGTTGGAACGCCTTGTTGCCACTCTATGCATTGATTGGGTCACCCAAGAGGAGTTATTCAAAATTTAATTATTATGTATCACATAATCACTGTAAACACTTTAGTGATATTACTTCACACTTTCAGTTTTCTCAATGGATGTAATTTTTATTTAATTTGGGTGATGACTTAATAAGTTTAAGACAAAAAACCACTACATTTTTTGATTGTCAACACTTAATTTGAAAATACCAACGGTTAAAGGGAGGTTGTTAAAGGAAAGGGAGTTGTAGCAGGGGTTGTAGAGTGACAAAAATCTTGAGCAGATTTTATAAAAAAAAATTTTTAGAACAAAAATTGCAATTGCATAAGTTTTCACTTTGGAAACACAAAGTAGACAAAAATTAGCAAATATATGCTCAATTATAACTAAGCATTTACTACTGCCCAAAAATTTGACCCTTGTTCTAGTCCTGACTGGACTTTCCTTTCCATATGTTATAAGCTAAATGTTCTACAATTTTTATTATAGCCGCCATTGTAGATAATTCGTCATTTATTTCACTTGAGTCCATACGTTTCTAATTATTTTTATTATTAATTCTTATTATTAGATGATCTCTTAAAATGTGATTATTTAACTTGTATTTGCTACCGATAAAAATTAAAAAAATCGAAAATATTAATTTGAAATCAACTATTTATTCACATGCAAATAATGTGACAGACAAAAGTACATCAACTGACTCAGAAGACAAGATAAATAATGTAATTTACTGAAGAAAAAAGAACATACAATCCCCACTATACGTTTATATGCGAAATATACACTCGTAACACTAATAATTTTAATACTAAATTGCATTATGAAAAAGTTTAATGAAATTAAAATTAATATATAAACGCGTATATAAGGTGTTTCTAAATGAGATGCAAAAATTTAAATATATTATCCTACATAAATAAGCACTGTTTCAGATAGAAAAAGAAACTCAAATTTTGCGTGCGTTTTATGGTTCGACCGCAACGTTCAAAATCTGTTTCGGCCTTTCTGCCTAAATTTTAGGTAGGATTTTTTCATTTTTTATATTTCATTAATAGTTATTGAAAACCTTTATTAAATTATATTAATAAATGTGCTCGTTGTTGCTTTAAATATCGTACTCATACGAACATACGGTATGTTAATAGTGCAGTGGTAAAATCAGTTTATTCGTCACTTATCCATTTACTTCTAAGGTAATATATTACGTTACTTACACTAGTAATATCTATGCTGTACTTATTGCATGTATATCCTTCAACTACAATCCATTATACAGAACAATTGGGTGTGTTAATAAAAATATGTTTTTCTTAAAAAATGTACATAGTTAAGACTATAAATTAGATTAAAAACGACACAAACGTGTCAAGGGCCTTCTAGGTACTCTATTCGCCTAGGGCTGCGTATTCGTTATAAAAAGAAAATCTAAAAAAATTGTTCTACAATATATAAATATATAAGTAAGAGTATCACAAAACCATAGTGCGTGAAAGCTAAAATAAAAATACTGAGACCTATTTGTTTAGAATTAAGGCACTAGAATTCACTAAGGGCGATTAAACTTTCTATTTGAACTGAAAGTTTTTGGATATGGTTGCAGTCAACTAATTAATTAAATGAATTGTCTCAATGTCGTGTGGTTATTGCTAGAAGTAAAAAAAAAATAACGGCTTTTAATATACGAGCGAAAAAATTAATATAAAGTCCAGTTGTTACTAACATACGAGAATTTTCTAATCTATAAAGAATCTACATTTAAAGGTACATAAATTGCTCTTGGTGCTTTGTTAGCCAATCTTCAACCTGCTTGTAATTTTTCCGCATCCACTCTACGTTGCCTTTTACCCGTTCGATTGCACTATCAAACGCTCTGGTCGTTGTGCTGATGTTGGCTTTGATACTGTCTCTGAACCTTTCCAACTGAAAATTAATTTTTACAAACTCTGAGAGGCGAATAACATTTAGATAATCACTTACTTCTTCAAGTTGGAATTCTGTGTTCATATGCACAGTCAACGCCTGCACCATTTTACCCAAAATATTGAAACCATCCCCATAACTAGAAAACGCACATAAATTCTGCATATAATTTGATAACTTGAGAATCGTACTACTTACTGCTCTAACATATAATTCCAGTGCTTTCTAAGAAAATCGAAAGCGATCTGAGTCCCTTCTTTGTTTTTAGCGATTGACTCAAACACTCTACCCGCATCTTGGATCCTGATACTATAACCATCAATTAGTTTATCCAAATATCTGCAAATAATTTCCAAATTACAGAATTCGAACTGAGGGGTTAATAAGCTCTAGCGCTAAAACTGATTCTAGAATGAAATGAATACATGAGGAAATGGGTTAGAAGCTAGTGCACAAGCGAGTCTATCTTTCAAATACGTCCTTTAAGTTAGGTGAAGATGTTTTATTTGGTAGTGAAAGATAAAATATTCGAAGTGCATCAGTCAGCATTCGGGAGCTTGCAAATTAACTGCGCTAAAAATTTCGTTGTTCCTGCTTTATAGAGTATAGAAAAAAAATTCTGAAAATATTCTCACATTTACAAAGCGGAACTAAATAAAATAACGTATATGATGTATTTTTCAGTAGACCCATTCAGGCCATGTCGTGGAACGTTGAAAATTGTAACGTCATGTGCTTAATTACAAGGTTTAGTAATGAAAACTAGACTTTCACGAGAAATATCGACATATGGCTGACAAAAATCAAGATTTGTGGCTTGTTTGATCACACTTTCAAGGCCTTTGTAGACTCAAGTGAAAAAAGATCGTGAAATTTTCGTATTGCCACTTGCTTTAATTTGGAGGATGCGAATGTTTAAAGGAGAAGGCGCAGTTGAGTAGAAGCTTCTATTATAAGATGAACAATTTTAGACCAGTTTTACCAAACGGAAAATATACGGATTTTGAGGGATTGTTGCGAACATTGAATAAGTGTCTTGTTCAAACAGGTGAAAATGTTACTTGCTTTGGTTCGAAAGGGGCGAATTTTTAAAGAGAACGTATTTTAGTTAAAACAACCATTATGAAACCGAAATGTATTAATTTTGAATCCAGATTTATTAAGTTGGAAAAAATGAGAATTTTCAGAAATTTTTAAGAAACTGTCAGGATCGTTTAGAAATAAGTGAATACACTTTTCTTATTCTTTATTCTATAGAATATAAAAACGCGAAAATTTCAAATTGCTTCTTGTTTTAATTTGGAAAGTTTAAAAGAAAGAACTCATTGAAGTGAAATGGATATTTACTAATTTTCATGAATTTGATTTAAATATAGACATATACATACACATTTTATAGCTTTCAAACGTTTTTTCTTAAAATTTCGCATTTGAATATGCCTGGAAATGTATGTATTATAAAAACAAAACAATTTTGTTTCCCAATTATTTCACTTGAATTACGTAGAAAATAAAATCCTATTTTTCAATCAATCAATTATCAAAAACCAATAGTAAAAAATACAAATTATTCTGTTAATAAATGTAAAAGGTTAAGACGTTGTTTAAATCGCTCTGTATAGGTGCAAAAGTTTTCATAAAATTGGGTTTTCTGTACAAGCCATCTGCGACATCTATTTATTGCAGGATTCTGTATAATAAATGTCTAATATTTTTTTAATATATGTACTTAATATAACCAGTTAAATAAAAAAAATACGTGTACTCACACCCCTATCTATTTAGGATCTTTCTGGACATATTTTTACATCTGAAATATATCTGTTGACTGATTTCAGCCAGATACTTTTTTATCTTTCACCTTAACTCACTTACATGTATTTTGGTAAAGCTGGCAATAAATACAAGTATAGAAAATAAACTTAATATTTGGAAATAAAAAATGTTAATACACAATTTTTTTTAAATTTTAATATAAAAGTTGACTTTTAATCCCTCATAGTAGGATGAGAATGACATATCCAGGGTTCTTCAAAAAACCATACGCTAACCTTCGGATTATATTCTATCCGCTTAAAACTGAACATTTTGTCTGGATCACTAATTAAATTCCATGAAAATTTTCTAATAGAAATTCTGTAGGTCTGCATAGTAAAAGAGTAGTTCTAAAGAAATCAGAAGACTTTGACTCTATTTAACAAAGTACTCGAACTCAAAATTTAAAATTGTTGTGAACGTTTTTTCCTTCTCGACTATTCCCTGCTTGTCTGAAATTATGGAAATTTGGAAATGCTAGAAATTCTTTAAATCGACTAGCAATTCAATTATTATAATGGTATGATTAACAGCAATTTATCTCTCTATTTTAAGGTGGCCGATTATATCTCGATGGTTGGGGTATGATTTTTCACACACTCTGTATAATATTCCATAAAATATGAGAGAAAAGTCGGCTGGAACTTTACTGCGAAGTAAATTTTTGCTAGATGAAACACTTGTTAGTAAAATAAATAAATAACGACAAGTGATAAGATAAGATATACCTTGAGAGAAGCCATTTCAACTTGGTGCATCCCAAGGCATCCAGCAAAACATTTTTTTCAGTCGGTGAGCTGGTTTCCAGATATTTCTTATAGGCAAAGTCCCATTCGATATCTGAGCCTTCTCTGATTGCTGTGCAATAAATCACTGATCGAAGATTCGGGAGAATTCTGCAAAAGGAAAAGTGAAGAACACGGAAGTTCAATTTTAAATTCCACAAAAATTTTATATAATGTTGTGTACTTTAGTGCAAAGCGAATTGGGGTTTCTTACTCATTTTCTCATGTCTCTTACCTTCCATCCAGATGTTTCTTTATATCATTAGCACAAACTTAAAGATGTTAGGGGAATTATTAAATTTAGGTCTAGACTCATACCTTATTGGAGCCCGTTAAAGGATCCACTTATTTTCTGATATTGTTTGATAATCGGCAATAGAATTGTGCACTTACGTTTTCCCATTGGTCATCCAAGCGCGGAACTGCGATCGAGATTCGTGAACGCATCTGGATTCAGGACTTCGACAGGACCATTCCAAAACAGTGTGCCTTATTCTCCTAGTGAGATAATGGTCGATGTTGTCGTTAAAGTCCACAATATCGTATGCCATTTTAAAAACTGCTTTGTGATATTCCTAAGAAGGAAATATTTGTTTTTGAATGCGTATGTGATTTGTACGATGGCAAATGCTTAATTATCAAGTTATGGTTCGATTCCTCAAAATACCGATTAGAATTTATCGCCTGAACATTGATGCTTGAGGAAAATTTGTTTAGAACTCCATTTCCTCAAACTTTCGCGATTGTTTGCCTAGTTTCATGGTAATTTGTGTTCCACTGATCGTATCTTAAGGAAACGTGTACTTGAGAAGAAATTTTCGTTTTTTTGTAGTTCTTAGTTTGTTTTCAAGAAAATGTTCGAATCGGTCGATTAAAAGTAGAATTCATCCGCTTTGAACGTAACAAACACTTTCAAGAATTCACAATATTTATTTAAACTAACAAACGTGCGTGTTTTAATATCTGCAAAAGTACTCCCGAGTTTCTATGTTTGTTAATCCGCACTTAAGAATTTAAGCTTGCGCTCATTAGTGAAGAACAAATAACGATTTCATAAGTTCACTGATATGAAGAAGCAAGTAGAAGAAATTGAACAAAAAGTAATATTTTGTCGAAAACAGTCAGTGGCGAAGGCCGCTACATAAAAGTTTATAATTATTATATTAAATGTAGACCGTATTTGCATGAAATTTGAGTCGTAAAATCATGCTCGCACTTGCGCGGTTGTTGATAAGAATTAAACAGCCTGCAATTTGGCTAATGCATGTAAAAACTTACTTCAAATATGCCAAATACTGGAGTATCATGCAAAATATCACTGAGAAATTGCAGTTTTCCAAATGCTACAGCTGTTGGCACGAACATAATAGCAGAGTCTTGTATTCCCATTCTGAAAAAAAATGTGAATTCACGGATTAAACATTATTTTATATAATGGATTTATATAATCCATAAACAGACATGCATCTATGATAGTTCTCTAAGAGAGATTGATGGCCATCTGTTACCAAATGAAGAGCAACGGGTGCATGGAATAGAATATTTAAATTTAAAACAAAGTAAAATTTATACTGTATATAAACTATAAAATATAGCATAGAAAAGAGCGTCATTAAGTTACAGAGTGAAATAAATCTGAGGAATAAATTGAGAAATTGATAAAAAAATTACGTTGAAAGGGAATCAAACAAGCTGAATAGATTATAGAAAATACGCAGAATGATGTTCCGAAAACAAGAAAATTTTCAATTTTTAGAAGATTATTAAGATGTATTTGCCGTTCTAAAGTAACCCAACTCTTGAGAACTTAAAAATTAACAGAAATGGCTTAAACTTAGAGACAGTGATTGAAACGCTAATTTTAACTCACAACATATACAAAGGAACTATTAGTGCATAACATCAATGTTTGATCCGCCAAATGGATTGTGAGAAAAAAAATAGAAATATTTGGGAAAAAAGTAAAGAAGCAAGCCATTAAATCAAACATTATTACTGGTTTTTATAATGTGAATAACTCACTAGTCTTCTAAACTTTGAAGTATTCCAACTAATATAAAATTACAGAATATTCCACAATTTTGCGATAATTTTCAGGCAGCGATTCAAAAACTAACGTTTATAGTATGCAATTGAGCCGCTCGCATTTTTATCAAAAATATGTAATATTTTCAATTAGAAAATACTCTTAAGTTTAAGCAAAATTCACCTTTTTTGTATTAAAATAAGCTTCGTAAAAATGCATATCTCCCATACCTACTTAAAAAAATGTCTCCTACTCCCATACCTACTTAAAGAAACTGATGACGTTCATGCTGAATCATCTTGTACATAAAAGTATGCAAAAATTTTACCTTGCAATTAATTTAAGAGGTATTTCGTAATCCAGTTGATTCGCTCTAGCCAGATCCATTGCGTTGCTGATTAGTTGCGCCCAAGTAATTGGAGTGAAATCCATCAGATGGTCTATAAGTTGTTTCCAGTTGTGTTCGTCGTAATTCACAATATAATATCCTAAACAAAATAATAATTGAACATCCGGGTTGTGAAAATTGGTAACAATTTTTACCGGTGTGGTTCAGGTTCAAAAGATACCATTCCCCAATGGGACCAACTTCTTCCACAATCTCCTCTTCGCCTCTCATCCAGAATTTAGGTGTGGTGGATATAAAGTTAGGCGAGACACTGGAAGTAAAGGAAATGGGCAGCCACCATAGGAATTTATCTTTGGAGTCCGATTGAGTCAGAAAGAATCTTTTCTGAAAAAGCACACCAGATGTTCGACTGGTTGCATCAGTTTAATGTGCCCACCTGAACAAGTTTTAACGTGTTTCTGCTGTAATCTGGAGCAACATTGATGACAGGAAACCCTGCTTGTTCGGTCCAAGTATCCATAATTTGTTTAACAGATTCGCCTGCTCCCAAAACGTTCCTTAAACGAGCTTCTTCAGTGAGACTGGTGAACAGATCATTGCGATTGGCATTGCTGTATTTGAATTTCTGCAAATATTTGATTAGGCCATTTTTAAACGTCTCTTCTCCAAGGAAATTGTTCATCATTCTTATTATGCAGGCACCTAAAAGTTCCATTCGATTTTCGTTTGTTTTTCTCACCGTTTCAACCGGCGCTAACCAACCTTTTGCGTAAGATATTTCATCGAAGGCTTGCTTGATTTGCATACTGTTGCACACATCAAAGCTGATTGGTCTCGAGGATTCCAAGGCGTCCAAGGACATGGCCCGTTCGATTTCACTTGGAAGGAATTCATCCAGAATGTTCCATGATGGTTCAGCCTGGTTAAATCGAGATTATCACAATTTTCTGAAAATGTTCTTGTTGGCTTCTTACATGGGCAACTCCTAAATACTGTAAGTAAGTGGCAAAACCTTCCTTCAGCCACAAGTCATTCCACCACTTTGGGGTAACAAGATTTCCAAACCACTGATGTGCTAATTCATGCGACAGAACGGTCGCGACTGTTCGCTTGTCCTCAACAGTTGAACTGAAGTTGTCGAAAAGAAGGCTACTCTCTCTAAATTAACAAGAAGTAATTGAGATAAATAGCTTTGAGGGTGGAGTCAGTTCATTTACCTGAACGTTAACAATCCCCAATTTTCCATGGCACTGAAGCCGAATTCTGGAATCGCAACTATGTCAATTTTCTTTAAAGGAAAGTCGGCTCTGAAACGGCCAAACACATGGGACTGTTAGCTTAAATTCATCTTTTTTTAGTTAAGTTTCTGCTTCACCTGAAGTAATTTTCAAAGTATCTGAGAATGCTTGGTGCCACTTTTCCAGCATAATCAGTTTGGGTCAGAAACTCTCGTCTTGCCCAGATTTTGATTAAATCGTCTGTGGATTGTAGCTGTGTTAGCTCACTAATGATGAAAGCCACTAAATAAGTGGACATTTCCGGTGTTTCTGGGTAGTTGTCCCAAAACCATGTGCCTTGTGCCGTCCTAGAATGGGTTAGATGAACATTTTATTCGACTAGAATCCAGAGAGAACTAAAAATGAACTTAAAATATGATTTGAAAAGCGCCAAAGTTACTGGGTTGCTGAGAAGTTGAGCATAAGCGCGAATTTGTAATTTCCGGACGTTCATAGAACTTTGCGGTAATTTCTCGAGGATATTTAAAATGTTGTGGTTCATCAATGTTCAGAAGCAAAGAACGTTTTCGGGATGTCTATATTTTTGCTCATTTTTTAGCTGTTTGGCGCCTTCTGCCGCTGATTAAATTGATGCAAAGTTAAAAAATTAAAAACGTACGTATTTTGAACGTAAAACGTAACACAAAACTCCAAAATTGAAATAAAAAATTATAAAGATGGGATTCTACCGTCAGACGCTCAAAGCTCAGCAAATTCGTAAATGTAACTTTTGTGTTGAATTAAGACACTATTGTCTGAATCTCAGAATTTCTGTTCGTGCTGAAATAACTATATTAGAAACTGCATACTTAATCAAAATTGGTTAATATTAATAGGAACAGTAACATTTCGCGTAAGTTTTTACATGAGTAATAAAGAAGATTTGGTTCAGTGCTTTAATCACTATTGCTTGCGATCTTTGCATTGCAATTTGCCGGATCAAAGACTTTATTCCAAAGTTGACCTAAAATCTATTTTTGCAAAGTGTTTTCAGTTTTTAACTGGAAAGAAGAACATATGCCTTATTAATTCAAGAAGCCCACCGAAGCAATTTAGCTCAAAAAATAATTGAGCCAGTTTTTTAAGATATAAATGTATTAATAGTTAGTCTATAAGACTGTTTTGATAACGTTGATTAACAAGATTCAGCAAAACGATGCTCTGCTGCATCAAGTTTATGAAGTTTTCCAACTTCCACGTCACCTAAAAAAACCCGATTCCAAAGGCAGTTGGACTAGTGGGAACCAATGATTCACTTTGTTGGCCACCTGGATCGCCAGATCTGATCTCTTCAGATTTCTTCTTTTTTAGGCTCATTTGAAAATTGAAATGGCAAATTTATGAATACCACAATAGGGTAACAATAAAGAAGATTAAAAAATAGGATTAGATGCGCAATACAACAAAAGTATGACAGGAAGTAATAAGCGCCATTTCGAATCCTCAGAAAAGCGATAACAATAAAACGGAAGAAAAATGGATTAAATTTTATTGTCGCCCATAAATTAATTTTTAATTAACTCTTGTTTTAAATCCTATTTTTAATTGATGGGTTTTTGCAATTTAAATAATAGGTAGGCATATTTCGGAGAACGTGGCAAGAGATCACACTTTTTTCAGATCACAGTTAACTTCTAAAAACACTGCAATGCGCGATTTTATCAATTTCTTGATCAGCAAAGATTTGAGCAACAAATTCAAATTAGTCAAATATTGTGGCACTGGCTCGATTATTTATATTATCGAAAAAAGGCCAATAGTCAAGAAGCTGGCAAAAGAGCACATTTTATTTAATACTTGAATTTAACTCTGAACCAAATTGGCCTGGTCCATAATCTATATCTGTCCATTGTAGTTTTAATTTGTCTACTTACTCGAACATTTCGCTTCTCTCAAGAGGCATGTTTGATAGTGAAGACATATTTGCAGGTCTTGCAAGTCTTATTTTAAATTTCGCTTTAAATGACGGATCATCAAAGCACGGAAATGCACGTCTTGCGTCTGTGGGTGAAAATTGCGTGCTTGCAGCAAACCTAAAAGTATTATTACATATAGTAGTTAATAGTAGTTAATTCAAGAAATTAATATGTTGAACGGGGGCAAACCTGGAATCTCCTGATAAAGTTGTGTAGTGGCTTTGATAAAATCCTTGTAGATGACTATTCAGTTCTCCCTGAAATTGCAAAGTGAGAACATAGCTTTTGCCTTTCTTTAGCTGATCATCCAACACAATTTCGTATCTTTCGCCTTCCAGATGCTCTTGTGATGAAATTGATAACGACTCTAGAAAAACCGCTTCGTAAAATATAGAAGTATGTATTTATTATCAATTTCATTAAATAGGCACCTTCTGATTTTTCTGTCGGCTTCACCGTAACCGAATCCTCTCGAATGTGGATTTTATTTACATGGAAGATGATGGTATCTGTGTCTTCCGATGGGACTAGAGTAATCATTTCCAAGCCATCAGTTGTTGAGTTATGAAAATCCGGTTTAAGTTGTATCCTGGAAATAGTCGTGATTGCAATTAGTCGTACTTTTTAGGACCTGAAATACATTTTAAAGAATTGGGCTGCTGGAAAAAGTTATTGGTTTTATATTTCCACATTCAGCGCATTCCAATTTATAAATCATTCTGCACTGAAATTTGTTGAAAATATAACGTTCCTTGAACCTAAGTTAAAATTAGCCAGTCTAATGCAAATATTTGCACTAGCTATAGCTGATGTGTTAGGTGTGATATCTAATTTTCTGAAAATGTATAATAAAACCTTATATCGATTTGTTCATAATTATTTTCGTCTTAAACAACAACAAAAAATAACCAATTTTCCAAGTAGGTAATCAGTCTGAGGAATAAATGAGAAGATTTTAACCGATCTTCAAAACTAGTTTTAAACAATTAAGGTTTATAATTCTCAAACAATATTGAAAAATTAAAAATATGTAGCATCCATGGCAATAAAATACAATTTTGTAATTGTTAGTAATTTGGGTCCAATCAGACCAAATAATGTCTTTATCGTTCTTCAGTTGAAGGGTTTTTCAGTTCACATTTTTCGGTTCTCTCAATTTTCAACTGGTTCCTTTCCGAGAAACATTATAGAATTGGGCATTTTGCATGAAATTAAACTTTTTTTTCAATAAACGTAAAAAGTAAAATCTGATTTGTTTCGAAATCATGTAAAACATCTCCAACATCCGGAAATTTTAAGTTAATTTTTAATCAATATTTTATCATTTGTTTGAATTTATTCTATTTTCGTTTCATTTTTGAGGATCATGTATTATTGCAAATTCAGAGATGAAAGTAACCCATGATGTAAGAACAATTTTAAAACAGGTTGTTGCATAAAATGTGTAACATGTTATTTTGGATGCTGCATATACAAATTTGAAATGTTTCACGATCATTGCCAAGCCAAGCCAAGTGAGTCAGTTTGCAAAAATTATCGCATGATCGCTGCAATAAAATATTCCATCAATTAATTGATTTGAACAAGCCAACAGGAATTTGCAAAAAAAGCAAGACAGAAACAGAAACATTTTTCTGAAAAATCAGAAACATTTTTTAAATTAATTACTGTTGGATTTGTATTGGATCTTCGGTTCGATTCAGTAAATGGCTTCGGTCTGTCTAGATAAAAATAACACTTATCTGATTTCGAATCTATTTTGAGCAGATTATTTCAATGTTTTGTTTTGTATGTAAATATGGCTGCTAATCTAAACATTTCAAACCGCAAAACTGAATTTATATTAAATAATTGGGTCACAATATGTAGTTAAGAGGAAAAACATTTTTTTCCAGTATTGGGAAATATGGAATTGCTGGAACAAATTGATCAGTCTGCAGTTCTCTTGCCAGGCTAATTAGATATCAAATAAACATTGTTCAGGTATATTTTTGAAATTTATGAACGGAAATGCGTTGTTTGAATAGAAGATCGCACCTAATTGATATTTATTTTGACATCTAAATTCGATTCACACACATTCGGGACTCGTAAAAATTAGCAATAATCTAACCGACATCATATAAAACATAATAATAGAACAGTATTTGCATAGTTGACGTGATTGTTTACCGTTCGATGTGTAATATTAGACACTCATGAGTGTAGTTGCTCAATTGGTTAATTCATTCAATCGACATTTTGAATGAGAAAGAACAACAATTTCGCAAATCTAACGTTTAATGTTTTGGGCTGTCGTGTGTGGGTGCAGATGGATGTCTGAAAAATCCTCTTGCAATCTGGCTATTTATCAACATGTCCGATTAGAAGTTGATTTACTTCGGTTTATGTGCAAATATGCCAAAAGTGGTTGGTTTCCTGTTTCATCAACCATTAATCTCATTTTAGATCGTTTTTAATACCTGAAGTATTAATTGAAATTACTTACTTTATTTTATTACTTTATTTCCTGATTCAGTTGGTCTGATTCAATTGATGTAGTTGATTATTGGTTTCTTGATTGCATTATTTAAAACGTTTTTAAAACACTTTTCCTATAGTTTAATTAGTGCACTTGCACCGAATTCTATTTTATATTAATTCCATTTTTGTCTTCTTTTGCTCTCGGTTTAATGTTTGTCTGATTCTGTTCCTGGCGTTCTTAGACATGTTCTTTCTAGTGTTTTGTTCACTTTTCTTGGTCTGGTATCAAATTGCCCCTTTTCGTTTTAATACACATTTGAATATTTCCTTTCGAATCGTTTTATCTGTTACTTGATCGCTTTATTCAAAATATATTTAAAAAGTTATATTTTAAATATTATTATAGTTATGTTTTAAAAGTTATTTACATGAAAGGTCAACTCTGTCCCAGGAAGAAGTCGTGGCTCTTGTATTTATTACGCGATTAATTTAGCGGAAAAGGTTCACAGAACAGATTCAACATAAAACAATAGATTAATGCCTTATCAATGTGCGCCTAGCCTAACGGTTCGAAAATTGGCAATATTTATCAGTTGTTACAGGCATTCGATAAAGTGCCTCAAAAATAAATATTAATTGCGCAAATGTAATCAGCAGCTCGAAAATATTTTGTTCGTTTTTCTTCCTTCTTCTTTCAAATTGTCACTTTTCTTTTTACGGCACATTGGTTCTTGTGGTTTTCTTTGCCTACATTTTTCATAATACTGTGAACAGTTCTGTTTGGATTTGCTACTTCTTTCTATTGTCTGCCCAAACTCTATTCTCTGCTTCTGTTACAAGTGCTTTAACTCTTTTATATATGATTGTACATTTTTTGTAATGGTTAGTTGCTTTTCGATTTCCACCAATTTCTGGGTCTGATTCAGTTGTTTATTTTCCGGCTCACTCCAGACTGAAATATGTAATATACAATTTAGGAAATTTCTAGATATTTCTGATGTGTAGCGTGTTTATCTCATTTTGATATCAGAAATGATGAAACAGAAGTTTGAAGAAACTTAAATTAATTGCACAACATAAAATAATCACTACGAAATATTTGGAATCTCTAGCTGCTTTTTGTTTTGATCCTAAACAGGCACACATTTCGAGCTTGATAAAAAATATTGGTTTGATTGAACAATTGTTTTTGTGTTCTTATAACTGTAAAATTATGCTTATTATAATATGGTTAGGTTTTTGATTAGAGAATTTCGTTCATTCCGTGAGCATTGATCTAAATTCGACGTAATGGAAATTGATTAATGCATTACGGAATTGACGCAGTTATCACTAAATGTGTTTAAAAAAAAGGATTTTTGGGTGAACACCGCGTTGATTTTGCCTGTAATGCCAAATTTTCACCAAACTCTTTAAAGGTATTGTTTATTTCTTCAAATAGTTGAGGTTTGCTCCAAATAACAGAACTAATTTAATTATATGACTTTCCTCTTCAATCATAAACTCTACCAACGCATAACAATAGAATCTGCCAGGCAAGATTATAAAAACAAAATCTTCTAATTATAAATAAGCTGGAACATAGACAAAAATAAAATAAAGAAAATCGTGACTCCACACAATACGGTTATGGAATGAAGCATTCCTCTAATCGACAATGAATTGGAAACAATATGGAAAAATTCCCGGCAATCCTTTTTCGACTTGGTACTAAAAGCTAAAGGAAAATTAAGGAAAGCGAGATCCATAAACCCAGTTCTGTCACGTTATGTTTCAGGCTTCGTTTGCTTTTCAATGAAATTCCTGTGTTTATTAAGTCGCACCTCATTTAAGCATTTATATTATTTTTAGAGAATTGTCTTTTGGATTTTTTCGCGGTTTCAAATCCATGTTAAAACCCAGTAAATTCCATTTTTTTAAATTTATTGTTCTCATTACTGTTCTCATTTGTAGCTGAAAGAATTCGTTATTAGTAAAGTAATTTCTTTAATACTCGGTTTAGAGTGAAGCAATTTGTTAATAGGTAAATGCTGAAGTTTATGCGAAGTCGATAATAAAATTGCGAATTTAGGGCAAAATCCGCTCTCACCGATAAAGCCCCACTGTTCCCTGGAGAAATGTATAAAACATGCCCAACCTAAACGTAAAATTCAAAGGATCCAGAACAAATTAAAGGCTGCCCCGAACGATTGCCTCATCCTTGAACTTTAAAAAATATCACTGAAAACTCCCCCTAGTTTACTATGTGCAGTGAAAATGATAATAATCCAGTTTAAATATTGAAAATAGTTTCTCGTGTATATATTTATATGGAATTATTAGGGAAGACTTCAGTGCTTTAGTTATTTGTTACTCAAACCCACAAATCTTGATACTTACATGTATTGGACGGGCTTAATACTCCTCGGGAGCCTTTCATCAATTTCATCTTCTGGACTTGTGGCTAATTTAACATTTTCTTTTCGGACTAGAGAGCCAACAGCATTGTTTGAGTCTGCACTACAACCTCTAGGAACTAAGAAAAATACGACTAGGCCTACTAAAACAGCCAGCAAAAGCGCTCCTATTGCCATTAATGTACAGAGTGCTCTCGATATGACCAAACTTTTGCCTTTTGGCCTATTGACTGTGTATTTTTTCTGGTTGGTGTTGTTCTCGAGGTCCACCGTAGTTGGGACACCTGGAACATATAATAAAATATCCATGTTATTTCCCAAACTTTAAGAGTAAATGTAGCATTTTAATTTGTTAATAAAACATCTTGCACTTATTGTGCAATGAGCCAATTGTTTGCGGAATGTAACCGTTTGCCATACTTTAATACAGAGCTCATCCTAGTCTAGGTTAAATGGCACCTCTTAATTAGGGAATTTTAATCATTTTTAAAAATAGCCGGTTGTTCATATTTTTTAAAGTCATCGTATACGAAGTGGTTTTAGCTTATTATGGCGACGATTCATAAATCTTTCAATTATTACTATTGCGACTATAGTTTAACAAATAATGCTTTCTTAAGTGGAAATAATAAAACCGTTTTGACCGCGATATAAATAACAGCGTGTGTACAGGGTGTTCCCTTAATGTCTGTCATAATTTATAGTAACGATTTCAAGAACAATTTAAAAAGTGTGCCATTCGGGTATGAATAATTATTCTCGAAAATACTTTATCTAGAATTTGGTAGTTGTTGATGGACTTTATTCATTAAATGGCCTGAAGGTTCTTCAATATATTTTTCATTGAATCGACGCTATCAAGAATAAAAAATTCTAGATTCACTTTTAACTATTAATCACTTAAAATCAGACTGCAAGCTGAATACCTTGATTATAATATCCGACCATGTTTTCTTCCTCAAAGTGTTCAAGTAACCAGATGTTTTGAACAGTCGAATCCTGTTAGCGCAAAATAACAATCGTTAGTCGTTGTCGGTTCAAAATCACACCTGTCATTTGTAATTTTTCGAAAACTAATTGGAGATCTCGTTAAACCAGACGTGTTTCTGATGAAGGAAACGACGCTTTCCAGTCGCGTCGCGACGCTCAACTAAGCGCTTAATCGCGCGCCGGGAATTTCGACGAAAAACCACCAGTTTTTGCATGGAATCGGCTTTAGGAAAACGGCCTTTTAATGCAATATTTCAAGCTAGTTAAATTTGAAGCGCTGAAACTAAAATGGTTTATAGAGTGATAACGTATTGATAGATCAAAGCCCGAAACGCATTTTATGGAGCAAATTTTAATAAATTATACCTAAAGGATTGCAACCGTTCATTTTATGTTTGTAAATGCGAATTTCCCAGCGGTGTTAAACGTGAATATGAAATGATATGATGAGTTTGCCATTGCGAATGTTTGATAAAATAAAATCTTAAAAAGGCTTCTTGGACTAGTTCGCAAGGGGTCGAAAAATTTTAAATTTTCAATATTCGGCTTTTAACAATTGCCTTGATTTCCAAGTCCCTTCCTACAGAAATGAACAAGGAAGTTTATCTTAGTGCAACTGACCTACATAGATCGTAACATCAATCTCTTTCGAAGCCGAAAGGATGTTTACTTCTAATTAACAACCGGCAATTAAAAGAAGCTTTTTCTAAATACCAGATTAACAAACCAAATTTCGTGAGTTGAATGACCATTGTTGCGTTCACGTTATCACAAAATTTTAATATATTTTGAATTAGCTTAATAAATATTATATTAGATTTCTTGTGTTCAAAAAATGTCGACGTTTTGCTATCATTGCTTAGCCATCTTCAGGGCAATTTTATGTTACTGTCTTAATGTAAATGGATAAAAAAGGTGAAAACCATCTGCATTAAAAAGCAGGATTTGCTGCGTGATTGCTTAACTTAACTGAAGGCCTGGTTTTTATTACCGACGTTTTGCCGGGTTTATTTGGCCTTCCTCAAGGCAATAACATAAAACTGCTCTGAGGATGGCTAAATAAAGATGACAAAACGTCGACATTAAAAAAAAAGTGTCTGCGTACTGATTGTTTAACTGGATTTGGATCCGTGTTAGACCAAAAAGTCTGCCGTTAAAAATGTCGACGCTTTCCCATTTTTATTTACGCGTCTTCAGAGCAATAACTTGAAATTTCTCTTGGGATGTCTTAATAAAGATAGTAAAAAGCCGGCATTGAAATTAACTGACTTTGCGGCATGATTAATAAACGGGATATGAATCAGCGTTCCATCAAACCCGTTTTTTTTTCATGCCGACGTTTTGCCATCTTTATTTAGCCATCCTAAAGGTAATAACATTAAATTGTCCTGAGGATGATGACAAAACATCGGAATTTTAAAGAAAATTTCCAGGAACACGGTTCCAAATCTCGGAACACACTCAAATCACAATCAAACATTATGATCCGGACGGATCGTATAAAAACGGCAATGTATATTGTATCATGCAACAATGAATATGGTTTAATAATCCAGTCGACGAAATTTGATGAGCAACGTTCATATAAATAGTTGCAGAAAAAATGTTTATTATGTATAATTTAAATTTTTTTGCGTTGATAAGCGGAAAAATGAATCTCAGCACTTTTTATATTATGGTTTCCAATGTTAAGCGATTCTAAGATGACTTCGTGTTAATCGTTAAAAGAAAGATGGAGAATTTATAGAATTTATCATGAAGAAAATTGTTGGCATCAAAAGATTTAATCAACCCTGACTGGTAGGATCAATGTTTTAGAGTAAAAACGGTTAAAAAGTGCAGAACTTCGTAAATGAAATACATATGTGAAAAAAATGAATAAAATAATTTTAGAAATTTCTCTGGAGTAATAAAATGCAGTAAAAAACAACGTACTATTCTATTTAGCAATTTTAAGTTGCTGGCTGTTACATCAGTTTTACTCGGGCCTATGGTACCTACTTCAGAATCTGTACTTTAAGTCAAATTCAAGAATTGCACAAGGAAGAAAACGTCTTTATCTTTGAATCCGTGGTTTTATTTTTGCGCTGTTTTCAACATAAAATAGTCTAGTCTTTAATACATACAATTAATCAATATTTTTAAGCGTGAGTATGGATAATGCAGTAATTTACATGGTTGACGAGTACACCTTGAATTCTGCTTCTGAGTCTAACTTAAGGGTGTGAAATGAAACCAAGCTACTAAAATTAAATAACATAAAAACGACACATTAAGAGATGAAAATGTTAATAGAAAGCAAAAAAATATAAAAGAAGAATTAAGAATTAATAAAGTTGGTTGGTTTTTAGGGTAAAAAAATTTCGAACGTTAAATAGTAAGTAGTATAATAAACTTAGTAAAAATAAAAAGAGTCTCAAAACTTTGGTTTCAAATATTGTTTCCAGGCTTCAATACCATAATCTTAAACTATTTATTTACTGAGAAATGCAAGTTTGCACTTTGCGTTTACAAAGCAATGCCAACGGATAAAATCCATCGTAAATCAGTCAATACGTAAGTTAATGGGCTTTTTTTAACATACTAATTGCATAACACAGTTTCAAGCTCCTAAGAACGTGTGCTTATAAATAAAGGTTGGAATCCAAAATTTTTGTTCTTCTAATATTAACTTGATGGGTTAATTAAAATTTGAATTTTTGCGTTTTTCGCAGAACTTTGTCAGTAGTTGACTTTGTAAAGCTTGACAATATATTTGTTTGCCAGTTGTCGTAGGTTGATATGCAAATAAATTAGATGAAACAAACGGAGAAATAAACATGTTCGGCCCACTGCTTGTTTTCTCTAAAAGTAATAATTGCTATTAAAACAACCGTTGCGTCAATTACTGCTAGATGAACATTTTAATAGGCAGAATTGCAATTTAAACACAGCTTTATGCCACATTCGATCATAAAGCGAATACGAGAGATATACAACGTTTGGCTTATTGCACTTTGGTTTGTGTCTTTAATCGAGGAAATAGTTCTAATCTGCTAGTTATCCTTGCACAGTATTTTTTAATTTATCTCATTTTAGTGGTTAACTGCCTTCGTATCCTTGTGAGCGATTTTTGATTGTTATCAACTTCCTCGGCAGCAGCTCGTATCCGAATCCGTGTTAATCCAGACAGGCCATATGGCAACATTTTATCACTCATTCATTGGCATTGGCACAGTTTCTCGCTATTTTTATCTACCCCGCGGATTTACAACTGATTCTGTTTAGATGTTCGATTTTTTCCGATAAATTTAGAATCAAACGGAGAATGTTTCATTGAGCTGGATCTCACCTCAACGATTTTTCGAAAATTTGATCTACCAGCGACAGTTCGGAATATGAATGACGATGGTCCAATTCAAAGCAGTTAATGATGAGGTCATGGTTTCATTAACAACTTCCAAAAGCCGTATATTCTGTACTCTGCAATTTGGTATGTTGGCCACGTTTTTCTATTGTCGGCACTTTCACCCACATAACATTTTCAAAAACTATTCAAATGTAAATTAGAACAATTAAAACGTGAGTCAGTGACTTAAAAGTTACGTCATCTTTTTACCACAATGGTTATTACCATTGTGGTAAAGTTGGTGACTTCATTTGGTACTTCTGATGAAAATGCATATTTGTTTCAGATTTTATAAACAATTAATTAAAATAGGGCAGAAAGACCGATTGGGTCGATAGCCGTTTCTATAGGAAATAAATTCTATAGGAAATAAATAAATAAAAAATAAAAATTAAAATAGTGGACACTTTGTAAAGTTAACGAGAGTGGAGTCGTAAATTTTTAAGATTTTGAATGTTAACCAATACGTTTTGGTTGCTCTGGACTATGTTGCTTTAACAGCAAAAAGTTTGCGGCCAATGTTATAACGATAGGAAGTACAGGGTGATTCTACAAAGCGGTGCCTAAGTAACATTCCTTAAACCAGAAGGAAATAGCAACAACAATTTTTTGATGAAACATTTTATACCTATTTAAGTTAAAAATTAAAATGAATTAAACTGACCATGTTTTTTGTACCTCTAAAAAATAATTACGTTAACAAGAAGTTATCGGGACATTCTGTGTTTTTCAAAACTTGGTAGGCATTTTAATCGAAAGGGATAGTTTTCATTACCCGGTAATAGGGCTGTTGCCATTTAGTGCTACTGTTTTAATTTGAAATTCAACAGGCGAAAATAATGGCAAATAATTTCAAAAGTTTTCTCTTCGTGAAATATGTATCTGTCCGTTAAGGGCATGGTCTGAGTAAACAATTTCTTGGCCTGTCCGACCGCCAGATTTGATGCCGCGCGATTTTATTTATGAAAGTGATGGAAAAGATGTATCCTACAGCAGCCAACGACCCAAATGAAGCAAAGAATAATGGGTTCATTTAATGAAATTTCCCAACAAACTAGGAATTTCCTAACAAACTTTCCATGGAAGCAAATTTGAAAATCTAGGAATTTTTTTTTGCATAAAATATACAGGGTGTCCCGTAACTATATACATTGTCAAAATGCTACTGCGACATTCTTTGGAACAAAAGATATCGAAGAAAATCCATTGTATAATTCTCCCGATACCTATTTAGAATTTAAAACAAAAATAATTTTCATCATTAATGGCAGAGGAACCAGATACTCTTTATTAATTTTTTCTAGTAAAAGTTAGGTCAGATCGTCGTTTTTTGATCCAAAGAATATCGGAGTGTCCTTTTGCTTAATATAATATAATATACAAAAAATGGTAGAAACTTATTGTGCTCCATAAATTTTAAATAACATATACAAGGTTGCATTAAAATATATATTGTTGAACCATTATTTATATTAAGGACAAATATAGGAGTGTTGCTTCACATAATCACCCTGTATGAAAATTAACACTTAATGCAGTTTGGGTAAATTTAAAGTCAGAGTGAACTAATTAAACTGTTATATTATATTTAATACTCACCCGAATAGTCAATTTTTCCAACCATTTTCCTATTCAATCTCTCACCCGTTTTAAAGTACTTAAGTTCAGTTGGCTAATTATCGAACTTCTCACCAAATGACCAAGATCATCTTCACGATGAGCCGCACCGATGCCATTCAAGTTCGAAAATTTTCCGAAAATGTTTTTCCTTCTGTTTGTTGATCACACTCGGCCTAATAGCGCACCAACTCGCGTGAAGAACTAACATTGAAAACCCGCTACCACATCCATTCCTAATGAAAAATTACCACATTTCATTCGAATAAGTAAAACAAACATTGGGTCCTTTAGTGAATCATGTAAAGTAAGCAAACAGTTCTCGACACAAACCGTCAGAGCTTCCTTGCATGTAATTTGGGATTGAGGAGGTGTAGATGACATAGATCACGTTTATTTGAATAGTTTTGCAATGTAAACTCAAATTTCAACAATTTTTAATTTGGTGTTTCCTCCACATGGACCGCCTACTGGAAGGTAAATTAGTCGAATCTTGTACTATGACAAACAATTTTCCAGTTAATACTTTGTCTGGACGTGCATGTTCAGTGATTGTTGTTTATGGGTATGTTAACTATAAAAGCAGCATAGGGAAATTTGCCTCCGATTATCGAAGTTTACACGAAACACCCAGCATTTTTCAGTAGATACTTAATTTCAAGTGGTTTTGTCTCCTTACAGTTACGATTATAGTTTGGATTACCTGATGATTTAAACAGTATTTCAGATCTAAATTTTGTGAAGCAAATTGCAAAAAAAATATGTGTAAATAACGATCTAGTGTCCAGTTTCTGCCCACCAGGTTATTAGTCTGATCTTTGCGTAGGCTCAAGACCACTATACCCTTCACACGTTAATTTTTAAACCTCTTAAGACATTCACCTGTGACATTAAGCAGATACTTCGGTCGAATTGTGGAAATTGTGCCATTTAAACAACCGCAATCTGTTTCTTTTTCCAACTAATTGAGCGTTCATCTTATAAAAAGACATTTTGAAAATTTCTCATAAGAAACTTGGTTGAGAATTCTCATTCTCCTTGGGTTATCAATATTATATCCAACGTACTGAATGTTTAGAAATTAAATTGTTTACTGCAGGATAATAAATAGGCTTCGCTGAAAACATTACCATGTCATATATTAATCAGAAATATTCCCTAGGTAATAAGGCGTGTAGAGTATGGCAAATAATTTTCATGTGATAACCGCAAATATGTGATCTCATCAGCACATATTTGAATACTGAATAAAACCTAAAGTAAATGAACTTATTAGACGGAATTGCTAATGAGCCGATTAAGTAATCATCTGAAAATTACTGACTGTTCATTTAAAAGCAAAGAAATTTGTCTAATTTAAATCCTGAATTTTTAAACTCCTAGTTTAAAGTATAAAGTCGGGATAAAGTTCGCGTATATTTGCCGTAGGTACTAACAAGTTGTACAAGTACTTGTACTTTGCATTGATGGCTGAGTAAAAGTCAGTAGACGTTGTAGTTTTTACACCTTTAGATATTCATTCAACCCAGATTTCATACAAGAAATAGGAGAAAATGTGCGATTTAAAAAAATGATCTTAGGAGTACGGCATAAATTAATACAAGAACAACTGGAACTATTCGAATAGGTATATCGGATTAATATATACATATTTGAGCATTAAACCACCAGCGTAATTTCTGCCTGAAAAGCTTGCTTAACACAAAAAATCTCAACATTTTACAGACAAACCAAACTTAGGGAAAACTGCAACACAAAGTACCAAAAATGAGTGAATCTCATCCAACCTTTCAAATAATTTAAAGGTCTAACAAAAAATTGCGATATTTTTTAAATTATTTCACTAAAACACCAAGTAAACATGTTTTAATTTAACATGGATAATATATACTTATTCGCAACAAAATTTAACAAAAAATAAGGCCCAATAATCCAAAATATAAAGAAAAAATCCATACATTCACACTGATTGCCAATGTTTATTCACTTAATTAGTCATCAATCGAAAAATTAATCGATAATCACCTCAAACTGTTCCGATTGTTTCGTTTACAAAATGCGCGAAAAAACTAAACAAATGTCGTTTGAATTTTCACTCGGAGCGCCAATGTTTTCGTTCAAAATTATCTGATACTTAATCGTTGTTCTTTTCAAGTATATTCGTCTTTATCTAGCGCATGTGATTATTGGTACCGGATTGGTACCTACGGTCGTGTGCGATATCAGTCTCATAATAAGCTGCCCCCCCTTAAGCGGCGCATATGCAACAAAGCTGCCTCATAAAAAAACAATAAATTAAATGAAGCGAGAGGCGAAGGCTGAGATAAGATTGAAAAAATGTTAATGAAGAGAAGATAAGACGTAATATTACAATACTGTTGTTCTTCAGTTTCCTTACTATCACCGACCGGTTCAAAACCCTTTCGCGTAAATAAAGAACAGATATGAAATGACAAAAGGCAATTAGTTAAAGGGAAATCTACACAAAGATGTAATTGAATTGTTGTTGGATAAGAGAACATTTGTTGCAATGTTTTGAGCTGCAAATGCAGGAGTCGCATTATTTTTGGCCTTAAAATAGCAAACTCCAGATCAATCATAAGCAACTTAATAATGATCGTTTAATTAATTTTAAAACATTTCCAATTTCCAAGTGCATGTTACTTTTCCCAAGTTCCATCACTGCGGGCAGGCAGCTTCGTAATGCTCCTCAAATGAAGGTCAACAGGAATATTTAATAATCACACTTAGTGATACATGATGCACATATTGCACCAGCTGCCTGCTTTATTATTTCAACCTAAATCATTACAACTCCAATCAATCCAATGGCTAACGCACAAACTCAGTTAAATTAGTAGGTTTTTTTCTGTTGTTTTGAGGACACGCAACATCGTTGCAGATTAGAGGATCAATTAGTAAGTTGCGGCTATCAAGATTATTATCTCTATGATGTCATATCGTTGGTACATAATAGATTTATTTAAATTTTATGGCGGCGAGCAGTAGTTAAAAGCGGTCTTGATAAACTTGGGAACTGGAGACACTTAAGCGCAGAATAAAGAATAGCAATTGCTATTTTTGAAAACGGTTACAAAATGTCAAAATTTTTATGGTTTTCTGTTGAGCAACTAAGGAACGCTAAAGATCCTGGAAAAATACACCTTGTCTTAGTTATGTTAATCATGTTTATTGCCAACAAGATTTTGGTAATTTGCAACAGAGCAACGTTAAAATAAGTGAGGAAAATTACCTAAATTACCTACTAAAATAAAAGTTGAAAAGAGTGGAGGAACCTCAAAACATTTGAGGATCAGCCACTGGTTGAAACCACGGGCCGGGACCGAATCGAAATAACTGTTCCATTCCGGTTTCGGTCCAAGGCAACATTTTAAATTTACGTTCCGGTTTAGATATATTTTTTTATTTAGATAAGATATTTTCCAATTCGGTTCAGTTCAGGTTCAGTTTTCCAGTTTTTTATCGGTTAATTTCGGTTCCAAATTTCCATATAGTCCAACGAACGAGAGAGAACAAAAGTTTTCCGACTTTGGCGCTTTTTTCCTCATTCGTTTGTCACTCAGGTCCACTACTTCGTTAATTTCGCATCTTTCAGTCTTATTTCCGTTTAAAGATTTACCCTGGTTTATGCCATTACACTTTTCACCACCTTCTGAGGAGATGGTTTTGTTGGAAATCCCAATTTCCATTTTTTTTTGCAAATAGCTAAAATAACTCAACTTAAAAAAGGATTTTAAAAGTAGTGTATAGACGTACGGTGTTTGTTCTTTGCGATTGAAAAGTCGGTTGGTCCTCACAAATAATATCCTTCCTCTAAATTTTGCTTTGTGAATATTTGCCCTCGAAGGCGGCAGTAAAAATGTATTTGCCAGCACGATTATTAATACTTGAGCAAGCATTATAACTCGGGATTACGCTTTTCCCTGTTTTTTGTTCCACTTTATACGAATTTAAAATAGATTCAATTTTTTAAGAAACTTTGTGCTAATTATTTTCTTTTAAAATTTTTTGCTCTGGATCTGTAGGCCTTAAAAATACTTCCATTTCACCGCCAAGAACCAGATGGGTCAAACTCAGAATTGGAAGAATTGCAGTTTTTTAAGAACACAGCTTAGCCCATAACGGCTTTAACTGTGCTCTTGCTCTTTGTACTTGACTGAAAAATGTCCCAACAAAGATCACTTTGCACTGAAAATGTGCAAAAATTTTGTGAAATGGAATTCTATAAAAGTATTCTACAGTTCATAGGTCTCAGTGTCCTCAAACATACTTCGGTATGAAATTATGTCGCAAACTACTACAAGAACACAAAACAGCCCAAAAATATCTTGAACAATCATTATCTATGTTTTACTCTGCATTTTAAAAAGCTTCCAAATTTCTGCACATTTCAGAATATCAATTTTTCTTAGTGTTCACTTTCATGAACGCGTATTGTAATTTTGTCGCATTGAAATTTTTACTGTTTTTTCCTTAACTGTTAATTGATTTAATGAAATTTTCTTGCCTTTCACACAATTAACTGTTTCACTCAGTAAATAAGTTGTTTTATGGCAGTTAGCTCATAAATGTGCCACATTGAAATGATTCCAGCTTTTAGAAATATATGCATACTTAAACACACATAAATAAAGAGGCTTGCTGCTGGAAAACTCATCAGTGCCATTACAAAAAATAAGTCATTCGAACTGTGTACTGAAATAAAAAAAAATAAATTAAAAAGAATTATTAGATCATTAAAGTCATAAGACATGTGGCGGTTTTCGGCAGCTTTTTCTTATTCTTGGGCAAGATTTGGGTTGATCAACAAGGGCGGGCTCGGCTTCCTTACCTGCCTCTACTTATAAACGTTTAGTAATACTCTTGCATTTTAATCAGTTACTTCTTTTTTGTTAAGTTTTAATTTCAAATTCGTTCTCAATCTAATCTAACGTTTTGTCGAATTCACAAAGTAAACAGCATTTAAGTTTTGGAAAATTCGGATGTTACATATTGATCATTCATTATTTCCTCGTAATTTCAATAAAGTATTTAGACTTTTTTCTACATCTTTTACATTTTTTCATCCAGCTATTTCTTTCATTTACAAGTAATATTGCTGGTCTATGTTATTCCAGGCTCTCAACTCGAATAATTAAAGTTCCAAAAATAAAGCGCAGAAAATTTATGGCATTTTTATTCAAATGAAAGGTTGATTCAGACTGTTGAATTATTTAGTATGTGAAAAAATGAAGCATTCCGTCTCCTAAGTCAACATTTTTCATGGGCTCGGACGAAGAATGTCCCAATGCGTAATGCCAGTGAAGTCAGCGGACCCATTTTGCGTTTTTGTTAGCTAATATTCAATTATGGCTAAGCTTCATTTGACTTTATTGGGTTATTTAGATTATGAATCATGAAACTTCTTACTTATAAGGAGTTAGTAAATATAGCGGGTTTTGATTGAATATTTATTAGATTTATTGCAAGTGCCCACATGAAATGGTTCAATATAAGCCGTGCTCTAATCGGCGAAGAATTTGTTGCCCACTTTTCAACAGTGTTAGTTTTCCGCATTTTGCTTCTTGGGGTCATGAATTGCTAAAAGCCTGTTTAATTTTTCCTGCTGCTACTTTTAGTGTTTTGGAAAAGCATGAAATGTTGGTGCATTATAATTTCCAAATGTTGACTTGTTTCCAAGTGTGTAATGGTAGATTCTGCCAGTTTCGCACGTAAGGGATGAAATCTAGGAAGTTTCAGAGTAAAATTGAGCTAAAAAATATAACATTAAATATTATAAAGCAGCAGGCAGGGAGTTCAAGTTTTAAACCTGAATATTTATTTACAACATTCTACAGAATTTTGAAATAGTTTGAATCAGAGAAATAGATCTGATTCGAAGCAGGTACTTAGAAAATATTTACAGATTCACTCGTATTCATAAGTTTTGAATGCAATTACTAATTTTTTATTAAGTTTTGGACACTATAGTCTTCGTCTATTTATCTGTCACATGTTTTTGCTTCGCTCCATCCATATAGTCCTCAAGGCTATTAATTGACCATACCTGAACAATTGATACGCATTTCGTCAGAATAAAGAATTAACAATGACAAATAAAAAAAATGAAAGCAACGTCGGCACTTTGAAATAATGACGTCGAGTAATAATCCCTGTAATATTATTTACGACAATTGCAGTGGTTGATGCATGCTTTCCGTATTAGATA